ACCTTCTCCAATACAGCTTTTCTGGAGCCATGAACTTAATTAAGAGAGTTATGCTCATTATCATGAAGATATTTTCATCTTCAACTGGCTCCTATCTATTCTTCCTTGGTTAGAAACAAAGAGAGATACAGAAAAGGGTTTTTAATTAGGAAATATCACCAGTATGTAAGGTTTGGGGGTTGGGAAAAAAGTTCTCAAAAATAAACCATATTTAAAGCTCAATCACAGAGGGGGCCCCAGTTCACCTGGTATGTACATTGATTTTGAAATAATAATTTACTATAACTGCAAGAGATTAACAATTCTTACAAACACCTACAAATCTTGTAATCATATTTCTCTAGCTATGTTTTTGAAAGCATGTTATTTACCCAGAGGTACAAAATCTTTTCTGCAGACAAAAATAAATAAAACTACGGTTATTTGATATTTTGCATTTTGTGATATGCAGCTACCTAGTAGAATGTAATGACCAATAGCCCTGGTAATTCTACTAGCCTCAGACATGAAAGATGTTTTCCTAATCAATCTTCAAGGCAATAGATTTAGAAAAGTAAACAAATGTAAAAACTCCTTAAGTGCCAGTAAGTCACAATCATACAAGTAAAGCTGACTCCTCTCATCATACTTTATGTACCCTACAATGTGTTAATTCTGGCACCCTTCCAAGACCACAAGCTCCTTAAGGATAAAAGCATGGGCTTTTTAAAAAAACAAAGCTAAGCCCTGTTTTGTTGTCTTTCTAACACATAGAGATTACTTTTCTATCAAGTTGTAGAAACTTTTCTTCTAAGGTTTAATAGCAAGAAATCAAACTGTAACTAAGTAAAAGAGATTTTATTTTTTCCTATAAAAACATCACCCCGAATTTAAATATTTCACTTGACTCTCCAGGCTCTACCTAGTTCTTTGGGATTCTGTATGTGAGTTTTTAACTAGTTAACAGCAAAAACGTTTTATCCACAGAGGACCATCCACTATTACTGAACCGTAGAATGGTATTCTGGCTCAACCTGCATCAGATCACACCAGTAAATACCCAACTACACCCTGAACTGTTCAAAGACTGAGAGGTAAACATGGACCCAGCATGAGTAGGAGAGAGAGGGGGATCGGATTGAGACCTCTGTGATGTAAATTTTAGGAATGAATGACTCCACTGGAAATGTCAAGATGACACCAAGTTCTGAGAACTTACCAGGCTAGTTTCTAGACAAAAACTTCCCACAGGTGATGCCAAAGGATGCAAAAGGATGCTTTGGAAAAGGAAGGGAAGACCCACTGCAAACAGAGCAAGAGCAGTTTGGAGGATTCAAGCACACACTGGATTCACCAGTGGCTAGTTTAGAATACCTGAGTAATAGGCTGGGAGAGGAAAAAGTATCATCTGTGTAGTATTGTATATGTGCCAAAATTTAAAGGAATGCATGTACAGGAAGCATAAAGACCTAGAGTCTAGAGAGGAGGTATTTGAACTGTGACTTGAAATACTGAAGAAAGTATTATAGAAAAAGAAGCTCTTGAAGATTTATTTTTTTAAAAGATTTTATTTATTCATGAGAGACAGAGAAGGCAGATGGAGAAGCAGGCTCTATACAAGGAGCCTGACATGGGACTCAATCCCAGGTCTCCACAATCAGGCCCTGGGCTGAAGGCAGCGCTAAACCGCTGAGCCACCTGGGCCGCCCGGTCTTAGAGATTTAAAAACAAAGGATGATTGAGAGTTTTAGCCACACATGAATGGAATTTGGTCTTAGAACAAGTCTGAGCGGGTATAGACTAGAAGGAAATTCTCAAGCTCCAAACCACCTGGAAGAAAGTACACAAAAAGACTGTTCTACAGAATAGAATACAATACAGACAATTGGGCTCATTCCACTAAATTATCCATGGGAAGCATTTATAATCAGACACTGGTTTATAGCCTCAAGCTCTGATTGGCCTCAGGTCCAAGAAATAAAGAGATCTTCTGCTAAAGCACTTAATTCTAAAAGAAAAACAAAAATCTGAGGTTATCAACAAGTCTTAAGGACAGATGAAACTGACTCTCTTCAGACCTGAATCTCAAATCCTGGTGGTCAACACAAAAAGAGGCTGAGGTGCTGGTAAATTCTCTGAAGCCGTGGGCATCAATAAATTTCCAAGCTATTCCAAGAAGGTTGTAGCAGATGGTATTAATGCTCCCCACTGATCCCATTAGATCCCTTTATATCCTATCCCAAACTGACAGGGACTCACACACACCAGTGGGCTCCTGGTGCCTCCAAGCTCTTTGGTGTGAAATGGGCACCCACAGGGTTCACAGGTCCTGGCCCTGTCCACTAGAACTATTGGCACCATAAACAAAGTGCAAATACACACTGAGAAAGAGCTATGCTACATGGTTTCTCACATGGTATCACTTTCCAGAATATCCTAAGGATCTGATTCGTGTTCCATAACCATACACAGACTAGGTTAACTATTGACTTGAGAAGAACGACCTAATGGGAGCTGCACATGGTTAACTTTGTAGCTATGGGCCATATTAGAAATGACTTCAATAACCAGTCTCAAAATACCCACCAGAGAGGCGAAGCTTCCTATTTCCCTGTAAGAGGACTCAAAGGGCTCCATGAGATGAAGACTGCAGGAGGACCAGTCATCCTCCTTCCCCTCTACTCTTTCTGAATCTGCAACTCCACAGCTAAATAACAAAATTAGACTTTACTAGTATAACTCAAGGCTGGGAAGGAGCTCATTCAGTTAACTTCATAAATTAAAGAATTAAAGCTAGTAAGCAGCAAACCTTTGGAATTCAAAAGGTGTTGACTGAACCACTGAGAGAGGTGTTCCCCTGCCCTGCCCCACCCAGCAGCACAGCAAAAACTGGCTGACAATCCAAAATGAAAACCCGATTAGGAGGAAGACCTAGAGGAAGGAGTAAAAGGACGCATGAACTAATAAGGGGTTAAAAGGATCAAAGGTCTTAGGTGAAAAAAAGCAGGTTCATCAAGGGGAGACTCTTCTTTAATACTCTTCGGGGTTGCATAAAAAGTACAAATATTACTTATTCAAAACCCAGATATTAAATAAGAAGTAAAAATAAAATAAGAGCATAGCAATCACTAAGTGAATGGAACATCCCCTGAACCTACAACGCATAAAATCAATAGTTCTTTGGGCAGCAAAGTGAAAGGATGGGGAAACCAGTGTGTGAAAACAGGTACCAATATAAAGACATTACAGATCCATGAGAATAGGTCATGTAAAACTAGATAATCTGCTGCTACACTGTCAACTACAGAACAGTTCAGAAACAGCCTACTTAAGTTTCTGATATGCAAGTGTCTCCTTCAAAATAGAAATTATGATCATTATCTATTTCACAATATCTCATAACCAGCTGTGCAAAACAGTAACCCATCACACTAAAATTTTCAGAACAAGTATCAAAAGCCCTTAACAACCTCCTAAATAGTTGATATTTGTATATTTATGACTTATTTTGGTTATCTTTTTGTCACATAGATGTTTGATTTCTGAAAATTGCATGGTTAAAAAAATTAACTGCTGAGAAAATTAAGACCTTATAGAAAACTAACGAAAGCCATTGAAAATATGTTTACATTCATAAAAATAAACAAAACAGTACATTAAATTAGGCAAATCAGGAACATTTTCCATCTTCCACTTCTGGTGAGGACAATATTATGAATTTCCATTTTCTATCATCCACACTGTTGAAACCTTTCAAGAATCTTCCTCAAGCACTGTTCCCCACCACCAGCAGTTTCAGTAATATTTTGTTTGCAGATAATAGACTATAATGGCCTTATGTGTCCAGTTGGCTAGGCTATAGTAACCAGTTATTTATCAAATAGTACTCTTAGCGTAGCTGTGAAGGTATTCCACAGATGTGGGTTTTTGTTTTTGTTTTTTTCACAGATGTGGTTAATACCTACAATCAGTTGACTGTAAGTAGATTATTGCCAATACTGCAGATGGCCGGCCCTCAGCCAATTAGTCAAAGGCCTTAATTGGACCTGAAGCTGGCCAGAGATGTTCTGCCTTAAATCTGCAATGTCAACTCTTATCTGAGTTTCCAGCCTGTAAGACTGCTAACTTGATCCCAACTTGCCACCCTAACAATCACATGAGCCAACTCTTTGAAAAAAAAAAAAAAAAAATACTGGTTCTGTTGCTCTTCAGACTCAAACTAATAAATACACATTCAGAGACTTATGTAACTCTCTACCCCTTTATGTTACACCTTTCTGATTTGCTGATCCTCCTTATCTCAGCCTCATCTACACTGAGCTCAGCTCCCACTCCATTCATGGAACCTACCAAATACAATTCTTGGAACTGAGGTTTTTTTCCCAAGTTTTTGCTTCAATAATCTCTGTATCTTTACTTCTCTATTTCTATCCCTCAGGCCCTTATTTTCTAATGATTAGAAAAGACAGTAACAAATATAATTGGCCTAAACTAGGATGAAAATTCTTATACAAATGTACATTTGCATGTACAGATCCCTGCATTAGGGAAATTTCAGACTGCAAAAGACTGTTAACATAGTGACAGTTCTTGAACTATATGTAAGGTACATTTTAAAGTGGTATTTTCATTCCAATAAAGAGCGCAGAACTGTTTCTTTACAATCAGAGCTGCAGTGGTGAAATAAAAGTCAAAGGGAAAGTATAATTTCCATTTACAGGAATCAAATTCTTAATCCAGTACCAGAACATGCTTCTTTAAAAATCCAAACATCCTGATGCATGAAAAACTCCTTTTTCAATGATCAACTATAAACTTCAGAGTTCTAGAATTGTCTAATAAGGTATTTCAACAGTATTTTTTTAATGCTAAACTTTCAAGTTACTCAGATCCCTTAAAACTGAAACATCCCAGCGTGTAAATAGCCAACTGGAATCAATACCTATTAACTTAGCCTTGTAAATGCACTAAACAGTATAAAGAGACACATTAAATATTTAAAATAACAATGGCATCCTCACCTCCCACATCAACCTGTAATCCATATTTTCATCCAAGTCTTCTGGCATTCTCTTCTCTCCAGCAAACGGTCCAAATTTTTCACCCTGTGTAGTGATGATTACATTTAAAAGGGGTCAGTGTAATAATCAAGTTACTAAAACAAACTTATTTCTTTTCTGGAAAAAATTTTTTTTTTCTCCAAACCTTCATGCCCAATGAGTGAGACACATTTAAAGTATTAACTAATTTACGCAACACAAAATATTTACATATTTAAAATCCAATTTAATCTGTTTTCAGTTTAAGAGCCCAAGTCCACAATACAGGAGCCAACATAAAAGGGTTAAATTGCTTAACATTCAAATTCTGACAAGGCCTCTGGCAAGTGGTCTTAATATGACAAGCATTGAGTTTTGCCTGACTTGAGAGACAAGCCCACCAGGCAGAAAATCACCTGGTTTCCATAAAAATCATAAATTCATCCCAATTATGAACAAGAAAGAAAGTAGGCCTGCCATTCTTAGAGGAAGACTGTTCATAAATAAAGTTTAAATTCCCCTGCCAATCTTTCAAACAGCAGAGGCAGCACACTGTAAACCAGAGCCTCTCACAGTATATGCCATAGAGCCCACCTGGCATGAGAATCAACAACCACGCTTGTTTCAAATTCACAATTCTGGGCTTCTTAAAATCAGAATCTCTGGGAATAGGGTACAGGGAGCTGTGTTTTGACAAGTTCACAGGTGAGAAGCACTGGTGGCTTGCCCTCCGCAGTTGTGAGGAAGGCTCCAGGGTAAGAGACATTGTTTTCTCAACTAAGACAACCAGAGCAGAAATTGGACAGACAGGCAATGGGGTCAAGTTCGTCCAGCCAGACCATCGTAAAACGTATGCAGAGAGGACACTGGGCCATTGATGCCTTTGTAAGAGTCCTCCAAGCCTGCCTGTGCCTAGTCTTCAGGAGACCCCTTCCCTTCCTAAGAGGAAGAAAATGCCAACTAAAATTGCCAGAGGAACTTTGATAAACATTGCTGGAGGCAAAAACAACCACCAACCAATGCCACATTTTGAGGAATATAAGTTACTTAGTGAACAGCAGAAAACCCAACTCCTGAAAAATAGTAAAATGTTAAAGCTTAAAGGGATTAGAGCTAACTAACCCAGCCCCTCATTTTACAAATAAAGATTCCGAAAAGCTACAAATAATGGCAGCACCCAAAAGACCTATTCTTTAATGTTAATTTAGGAACAAAAAATCGCTACAGAGATTCTTCAAATCCAGATCATAATCTGAAATAACCCAAGCACAAGCATAAGACTGCTATTTATAGTAACAGAGTTACTATGAATATGCAATCAAATTTCAGACACTGGAAGCCAGCTTTGCCTCTTCCCTCCTTCCACGCCTCACTAGCCACTTCATGCCAAAACTAGGCTCTGAGCATCACTTCTCAGGCAGATACGACGGCCCCAGAGATGGCTTTACTTTAAAAAGTAATCATTTTTCACCTCAACATGGGACCTTACCATTATTTAATGGTAGTTAAGAAAAGCTATACAAGCAATTAAAGAAGTGGGGCACCTGGAGGGGCTCAGTCCTTTAAGGGTCTGACACTCCGCTTCCGCTGAGGTCAAGCTCTCAGGGTCATGAGATGGAGCCCTGCTTCAGGCTAGGCACTCAGGGTGGGGGCAGGTACTCAGCTTGAGATTCTTTCCCCCTCCCTCTGCTCCTATCCCCCTCTGCTCCCTGCTCTGCTCTGCCCCTCTCTGGTCCCCCCAAATAAATAAAGTCTTTAAAAAAATGAAAGAAGAGGGGGTGGAATTAATATATATTGAACCACTATGTGCCACACTGCAAATGTTAGAATTCTCAATATGTGAGAATTTCCCCATCTAACAGCAAAAACACTGAGAATCAAATAGTTTAAGTAAGTTGCTGGATTAAAGTCAACCACCTAGGGATGCCTGGGTGGCTCAGCGGTTGGGGCATCAACAGAAGGCATCTGCCTTCGGCTCAGGGTGTGATCCCACGGTCCCGGGATCGAGTCCCATATCAGGCTCCCTGCATGGAGCCTGCTTCTCCCTCTGCCTATGTCTGTGCCTGCCTCTCTCTCTCTCTCTCTGTCTCTCATAAATAAATAAATATTTTAAAAATAATAAAATAAAGTCAACCACCTAGCAAAGATCACAGAAGGGCTTAGGAACCAGTGGTTTATTTTGCTCAGGCACCATCTGCTTCACCATGCCAGCACTCAAAACCCTCACAATAACCATGTGACCCAGTGCCCAGGCAGCTCACCCTCCTCTTCTTACTTTTCATTAACTACAACATTTAGTAACTCTGTTGGCCATGCCTTGCTCATAGCAGTCACTCCATATGTGGGCTGTTGAACTGCTGGAAGAAACTGATAGGCTGCTGTGAAAGCCAGTCTGGATGACAGACCAGAAAATAAGGTGTGTTTTTGGTAACAAAACTGAGGATTTGGTATTAATGCATGAAGTTCACCTTTCCATTCACCTATCCACATATTAGCATTTATCAACCACTGCAGAATGTAATAATCTAAGTTACACACTTTCCAATGCAACAGATCTACCCATGCCAGTCAGGTTGTCTCTGCAGTTCAAACTGGGAGGGGGAAAAAAAAGGAATCAACCAATTCAGCAGTGTTCAAAGGACTGAAGAGGAAGGATGGAGACCCAAATAAATGCACTGGAATCAGTTTAAAAGACTGCTTGGGGGACTCCTGGGTGGCGCAGCGGTTGAGCATCTGCCTTTGGCTCAGGGTGTGATACTGGAGCCCCGGGATCAAGTCCCACACTGGGCTTCCTGCATGGCGCCTGCTTCTCCCTATGCCTGTGTCGCTGCCTCTCTCTCTGTGACTCTCGTGAATATATAAATAAAATATTTAAAAAAAAAAAAAGACTGCTTGGTTGCATGTCTAGCAAGATTATTTAAAAGACTTGCAGCTTTGAAAATTTACAAGAATCAGGACTCTGATTTTAAAGCCTCACTGTTAATAGTGAATGAGCATTCTATCATAAACTCAAAATACCAAACTATAATAATATGGCTTTCAATTTTTTTCTCCACCCCATACTAAGGAATAAATTTTATATCTCAGCTTGGTATATTCACACGTACACATAGAAACACACACATAAAACTAAAATACAAATGTCTTTAAACAATGCTACCCTTACTCTGTACAACATGCTCCTATATTTTATACTCTATTTCACTTCACTTTTTAAAAAAATACTAGTTCTGACCCAGTAAGTTAATTTCATAACTCATTAATGGCTTGCCATCCAGTTTGAAAAACACTGACATTAAAAACAAACATATAGGAGGCCAATTTATAAGTATGCCAGTGAGTATATTAGCATGATCTGATCAAATACACTTGAGTTTCTGTAGCTGCAAGATTATGGAAACATAAATAGCCAACTCTTAATTATCCTTAGCACTTACAGTATGAAACACTGCAGATAATTAAAATAATTTATATTTGACTATAGATGAAGATTTTGTAGTTACTGGGCCCAATCTCACTGTGAAGCTTTCCCCTGAGGATCCTAGCACCTGCTACCCCCATTTCCCTAACTCCTTGTTTGTCCTTGTTTCTACTACACAAACAGCACTTTCTTATCATTGTGATTTTACTGCATATTCTGCTTTATTCATTAGCCATTTCCCACAGGAATTCTAAACTAAGAGTAAGTCTCTTCTACCTCAGTGGGCTTCAAAACTGCTTGGGTATCACACCTATGAAAGGAAGATTTGGGGTACACACTCCACATAGATGTGATGACTCTTTTAGCTGAACCATATGAAACTGCCAATATTTTATCATTTTCAACTATAAAATGAACATTTTTCATGATTCATTACAATATAAATTATATATATATATATATACATTACCATAATCAACATAAGCTGAGGTTCACAATTAATAACAGGAAGGAAACCACTTTTTCAAACTGTCTTCTTGAAAATTTCAAAATTTTTTGGCTGACTTCTTGTCATCATTGGTTTTACCCTCTGTGATTAAGATGCTGAAGATCTACTAGCAGCAGGAAAACTATCAACTGTACTATTTTCTTGCTGTTCCTGTGTGCCTCCATTATTGATGTTTTCTTCATTGCAAGAATTTTCCTAGAATTCTTCCCATCAAGCTATCTAAGGGGTCACTATCTCAAATGCTTACAAGGTCAGGCAGGAAAGCAGCACAACATCTGACATCCAACAGCAAACATGTAAAGGACCTATTAGGCAGTGACTCAGAAGCTGGAAGGGCATGCCCACTTAAGCTTTTCAAGGGCAACTGAATGTTGCTATATCACAATGGAAACCTCACGTTGCTAGATATCTGCAAGTGGTTTTAGAGACTCTGACAACTCAAACATGTGTATGAAATCACTACTTTTCCATGCTGGCAATGAACTCCAAGTTTTCAAAACTCTGCAGGTCAAATAAAATGTGAGTTCAAGACAATTCAAAATGAACTGTGTAGACAGTGAACTGTTCAGGCAAACTCACCTCTCAGACTGGCCCACTGCCCAGCCTACAACGGTGCTTCTCTGCTGTTTCTAAACAGAGCAAATAATTAATCTATTCAGTTTGCCACCCACTGGACTAGATGGTAACTTTTTTTTTAAGATTTTATTTATTTATTTGAGAGAGAGGGGGGAGAGAGAGAGCACAAACAGGATAGGGAGGGGCAAAGGAAGAGGGAGAAGCAGACTCCCCACTGAGCAGAGAGTTGGACTAGCAGTTTGATCCCAGGACCCTGGGATCATGGCCTGAGCTGAAGGCAGACCTTTACTGACTCAGCCCCTGAGGCACTGGACATTAACTTTTAATAAACAAAAAAGTATGCTTATAAACATGGGCCATTTTCTCTCATTTTGCTTAATATTAGTAAGAAGTTGAAAGCAAGATTTACTGCAGATATCTTCCTTAGAACAGTGGAAAGAACACTAGCTGAGGCTTCAGGAGACCTGGATCCTAATCCCCTGCTCTGCATTGATTAGCTGGAACACATTCGGATGTCACAAACTTCTGAGCTTTAGTTTCCTCATTTATAAAACTTAGGAA